ATGTATGATGAGAAACTCTCATCATCCTCATAAAAAATATTACTGTGAATTAACATTGAATACAAGAAATTAAACAAAGTGTGGATATTACATTACAACAGTACAGATCAAGGTAAGTATAAGAGATGTGACCCTGGGATATTACATTACCCCCTCGCTCTTATGGCAAACTCCTGTTGCCATTACATGCAACTATTGGCTTACTGGTCACTGTAAGTGTCATATGATTTTAAACTATTTTCTGTTTCAGTTAACAATACAATTGGTAAAGTATGAAAATTCTTATTAAATGTCAATTATATAAATGTATCGCTATGAACATTATACAAGAAGAATTAAGCGAATATAGTAATAACTTAACAGTGCGGTAAGAGACAGAGTAAGCAATTTTCTAATCTTAAATTACATAGAAATTTTTTTTAAATATCAATTGGAGAGACATCAAAGTAATCAAATATCACTTTATGCTTAAACATTAGATACAAAATTCTTAAAAATGAACACTTGACTAGAGAAGATAATCATTAAACAATTAGTGAATCAGTCTAAATTTTAACAACGTCTTAAAATTATTAAACTTAACAAATTAATTTACATTAAACACATAATTACAAATATTAATTTCTTCTATATGAGCTGTTCTTCTTGGTGACTACGGATTTCAGGGCTCTGTCATTCTCTTTGTCCTCATCTTCCCTCGCTCGTTTGTTGCTCTGGTTTCCTGTCGAATCGCGACTGCGCACCAAGCGTCTCTGCTCATCAGTAAGGCGATCGACCGCTCTCGAAACCTGTGACACAGATGTCCCCAAGGCGTCGATGGACTGTTGAACATGGCGTGTGGCCCGTGCCACCGACTCAACCGCAAAAATCATCTTCCCCATGGCTACCTCCATCGTCTTCTCAAAGTGCCCCAGGACTGCATTGAGGGGAGCCAAAGAATCGACCCTTGGAGTTGGAGCTGCCTCTGGTTCCGTCTGTGTCGCCTGTGTCACCGTCGTCCTAGGTGGTTCCTGCTGGATGACCTGGGTATGCGCAGGTTGGGGAGAGAATATCATGTTCTCATCCGCAGGGTCACCAAGCAACTGGGGCATGATATTCTCATCCACGTTGGAAGTCCTGCGACTAAACACGTCAGGCGTCGTAAGTGGCGAAAAAGCTGACCTGTTGGATAGGGCTGGAGTGTGGGACCTACTTCTATTTACTGGCAGGTCGGGAATTCGCAGCTGAGGTGACTTTGGCACTATGGGTGTCGGCCTGTAAGTTGCTGAACCAGTTTCAGCAGTTGGCGTTGTTTGTTGAAGGGTCCTTCCAGTTCCGGTACCAGTTGAGGTTGACAGCGCCTCAAGCAAACTGCTAATGAAGGCGTTAGTCTCAGACTCCGTCATACCTGGCCTAGAAGGGTCATATTGAAGGGCAGGCGGCACTGCTGGTGTTGGGGCTTCTGGCTGGGCGTTGTTGGCTGACAGGAGTGAGGCCAATACTGCTGGTGACAACCTCACTGTGACCAACTCTTCCGTTCCACCCTGCTCGGAGGTGCCTGTCGCTTGGCTCTGTGTCGGCTGAGAGGGACCTGACTTCTCCTGCTCTTCAGGTAACGCACGGTAATCAACCCCCTCCTCAATAGTCTTGGCATTGGGGTTGTGCACAAGATAGCGAGACGCATCTCCCTTAAATTCAGCCATAGCCGCCATGGTTGCGTGCCTCTTGTAGCTGGTCACGTGCCTGTTGAGCTGGTCTTGACTAGTGCACCTAAACATACACAGGTTGCAGTAGTATGGCGTCTGGTCAAGTGCCATATGGTGCTTCATTACGTGGTCTATGACCCGATAACGCTCGCCAACACACCCGGACCCAGGCCCTCCACAGTGAGTACATGAAAACATCTTCCTCTTAGGTGTTCTGTTGTCCATGACTTCCTGAAACGATAAGAGGAGGGGATCATAAGTACTTGCCCTTATCACCTACTTCAGGAATTGACAGAAAATGGTACTCGGCACGCCAACATCGACAAAAATTTTCGCACGGTTTTCTCGTTACGTTTACCACGTCGCATCAAACTTAACTCTCGGTCGATTTCTAACGTTTCTCGTTTAAGCGCAAGGAAATGATGACAAAAAGACAATGACAATTCTGTTTATTTATTGTGTTATACGTTTTGCAATTTTACGGGCCCACTTTGGCACGTTGGTCCCATTATACATTTTCAACTTATCATGATGTATTAACACAGAGTGCCCCTCAGGGTTCATTTGCACCACAAAATTTATTGGTGACATTTTCTTTACAATGATGTAAGGTCCATCGTACCTTTTCTCGAGTTTCGGAGATATACCGACAGTTCTCGACTCATGCAACAACCAAACAATGTCGCCTACTTTGTAGTTTACGAACGACATTTTAGTATCGTACAGGTCCTTGCTACGCTTTGCGCTAGCCTTGAGATGTTTTCTCGCAACTTCATGGGCTCGAAACATACGTTCTTGGATTGCTTCCACAACTGGGCGATACGATGGCACACTATTATCTTCTTTTGTCTTGTACACCAGATCACCAGGAAGTCTCACCTCTCGACCCATGCACATCATGTTCGGCGTGAGTTTGGTGGTCTCATTTGGGGAAGACCTGTATGCCCCTGCTATACATCCAAGGAAGAGGTCCCATTCAGTTTGGTCGATAAGATAGGCCTTTATCATCTTCAGTAACGTCTTATTGTATCGTTCAATTTGACCATTACATTTTGGATTTTTGGGACTCGTGCGGCTCTTTTTAACCTGAAATAAAGAACACAGTTCTTTAAAAACATTACTCTCAAAAGTCGAACCTTGATCAGTGTGAATTTTTGATGGTGTCCCCCAGCGTGAGACAAACTCATTAGCAACTCTCAATGCACAATCCTCAGCCAGTTGATTAGGGACGGCCAAGACTTCCACATATTTTGTGAAATGGTCAGTTAAGACCATTATATACTTATTTCCATTTTCAGTCATAGGCAAAGGACCAAGATAATCAATAGCGAGCGTATCCCACGGAGCACCGCTTTGTAAGTGTCCCATTGGACCTCTTGGAGGCTTCTGCATTGCCTTGTCAGATTCGCACGCATCACAGGTCTTGACAAACAAATTGACATCGCCCTTTAGACCATACCAGTAGAAGTTCGACTGTATTCTATGTTTCGTCTTCTTAGTACCTAAATGGCCTGCGAGGATACTATCATGCATTTGACTCAAGATGTCCCTTCTCAAACATTTTGGTACAATAACTTGTTCATAACAGTCCGTCCCATTCTTCTTTTTAAATTGCCTATATAACACCTTGTCCCTGATAAAAAGTGAGTCCCATAGTACCCAGTATTGTCTGGTTGCTGGACTTTCTCTTTCCATATCCGAACTAAGCGGCTTAGTCTCACTCTCTAACGCTCGCACGATTGGAGCTATATCTGGGTCCTCCCTCTGCTTTTCTGACATCTCTTTGCACGAAAACATCTTAAGCCACGATGTTTCTTCGTTACGCGCCCCCTTACTTGTACTTGGCCTTTGATCGGTTTCCACAACCCGCACACTTTCACCAGTCTTCATACCGCAAACACCAACCACCTTCGCATGCGCCATTTGCTCCGCCCTTCTTTGGCATTTGCCACATGGACCGCACTTCAAGGCTTCGCTCGTGTCAACTTCGCTACATTGACAGTCTCTAGGTTGCTCGCATCTGGACAACGCATCACAGTGTGGTTGTTTCTTACCTGGTCTGTACTCTATTGCAAAATCATAAGGCGCCATAATTTCGAGCCATCTTGCTATCTTCCCATTTGGCTCCTTAAGACTGAACAACCAAACCAAAGCTTGATGATCGGTTCGAACCAGGAACCGTCTCCCTAGTAGGGTACTTTAGCCGAAAGTACTTGAACAAAAGGAAGACTACTGCTAGAACTCCTTCATCGAGGAATCAGAAACAAAGAGCACGTTAGTTAATCTTGCGCTGAGCATGACTAATTATTAGCAAAAAGTCACTTCATCTTCAGCATCGTTCACAATGTATCTACTTATCACATTATTCATACGACCCACTTGCGCTGACTTATGAGCACATGGCTACCGCGCGAGGGAACTTGATTATCCCTAAACACAGTCCAGGGAGCAGGAGAGAAAGGAGGAAAAGAGACAAATGCTAATTCTATATATATCTATCTTCTCATAAACACATATTCAGTCTGCGAGGCTTATTCGCGCTCTATTCTAAATGAAAGTATTATCTAGAGCGAAGTGGATCTATTGAGTAGGGCCTTGACGAGTGATGCAAAAGTCCTAAGACTTTGCGACGAATATCACCTTTGCCTTCAACGAGAATTGCTATCATGCACTCACTTGATATTAGCGTGCGTCAATCACAGAGAGTACTTACTGCAACTCTACATAGGCACGGTAACAGAAAACTTCCTTTCAGCGAGCTCCTCAATACATGTATTATGCCTTTTATATTTGCACAACGCAGCTAGAATACAGCAGCACCACTAGCAGTAAATTCAACCGCAGGTAATTATTGAGCGCAGGTCGAATATGTCAGCGTCAAATTTGGTTGCTTGACGCTGGCGCAACTTATGTGACAAAATTAGTTTAGAGAATCTTTTGCGATGCCATTTAACAGGGGATACAGAGAGCCTTGACGGAGCCTCTGGTCATCCTAGTCTATTTATGGACGAACACTATATATGTGAACCGTAAAGAACACCAATGCTAGCCAGTTCGAGATAGGGAAGAGGGAAGAGCCAAAGTAATTTGTTACACTGTTAGACAGAACATACAATGAATGAACCTGCTGTCTATTGAATTAGAGCGATTAATATATAACGTCAATTTTTTAATCCCAGTTACTCTAAAATAAAATTTCTGGCTAAACACGGGAGAGTTTGGCACATACAGTATATCATACAACCGATTGTGTTCATATTTGGGTATCATGCAGCTAAACATTCCCTCTCCATAAACAATTTAAAATATCAGAGTTCATATATAGAACCAAACACGTTTCCCATTGAAGACCCTGCAGTGCCAGCTCCAATCATTTCTTAGAAATGTACTGCTGCTATTATTAAGCCCGAACGGCATTCGTGTCATCTCAAAATGCCCGAATTTACAGACGAAGGCGCTTTTTGGTATATCTTCCTGTTTGAGAGGTATCTGGAAGTACCCGCTGGTAAGATCAAAGCTGCTGAACAAACTGGCACCCCACGGCATCAAGCAGTCTTGCACTCTGGTAGTGGGAATCCGTCTTGTTTCACTAATTGCATTAACTCTTCGATAATCGACGCAAGGTCTTATAGCTCCCGATTTCTTCTTCACAAGTACAATTGGGCTAGCCCAAGGTGAAGTACTCTTTCGTATAACATCTTTTTTTAGCAAGTCTTCGATCGCCTTCTTCTCTTCATCTGCGTACGCAAGAGGTACTCTCCTAGGTCGTTGCTTGACTGGTTCTGCATCATTCGTTTTTATTGGATGCTCCACCAAATGCGTCAATCCAATATCCCATTCGTCCTTGGAAAATGTGTGCTGATGTTTCACGAGGAGGCCTGCGATTATCTTTGCTTCATCACTGGCATGACCTTTCACTGCTTCAGTATAGAGCTCTGTTAGGTGACTTGGCACATCTTCTGGTTCAGCTCTCGGCAAACCGATCTCGGGCTCCATTTTCTCTTTGGTCACCACCTCTATTCGCCTAACCTTGTCTAGGTTTTCTGCTTCACTACTATGCTCTTGGTCAGATACTATACTCACTATCTTTTCGACCTTTTCAGCTTTACCTATCACAGCATCTTGCCTGAGTTTCACGTCAACAGGAAATGGATTGAGAACACGCACCTTCGAAGTAGCCGCACCATTGATGTCAACCAGCGTACATGCCAGTATCAACTGATACCTATCCTTGAAATCTTCAGTTCGGCTCGGACCAGAAATGCAGCCATTGTCTCATCATCATCTGGCTTCATTTCTTTTCTACATAAACATCTTATCACTGTCTCGGACTTCCCTGGCACCGTTCAAACATCCTCTGCATAGTAACCTTTCCTTGTTTAAAGGTGTCAAGTCTCCTTTTACATGGTATCTTTTGGCCCTTCAGAACTACCAAATCTTTTGTAAGAAGCAGGTCAGCAGAATTCAGTATGTCGTAACCAAGAAGCGCATCATCTTCTATGTCAGCTACTATAATTTCACGTTTAAGAGCAAGCTCTCCCAGCTTTATCTCAAACATCCCCTTACCTAAAATCTTTATTGGGGAGCCACCTGCACCTTTTAAACACACCGAGTTTTTTAGCATTGGCCTTTCCCCTTTTTCCAGCTTATGATAAATCCTAGATGACAAAATGGTTCTTGAGGCACCCGTGTCAGCCGTGAACACCACAGGCAAACCTTCGACACATCCCTCAACGTACACACCATCATTCATCTCTTTCTTTAATCCAATCGATTCACTTTTCTCATTACAACTCTCTGAATTCTGTCCCTGATCTCGTGTTTGTGGCCCTATCCCTATCATTTATGGCCCTCTTTGGCCCAAGAGTCGGTCGCAATTGAAGTTAAAGGTTTCTTCACCATTGCCTTTCGACACCTTCAAATCCCCTACCAGTAGACTCTTTGCTGGGCATCCCTTGATAAGTGTCTCCATGCTTATACAATGTACATTAAGACAGTCCCCTTGTTTGGACCTTCTGCTTTAGATCGTTTTCTTTTGCTCCTGGTCACTACTCCAGCTTAGATAACCTCTCTAATATTTGGGTACGAGCACCTTCATCTCTGCATCTGCTCATCCTTGTTTATTCTCAGTGTTTTCCGATTCAGTGTAACCGGTTCCACACGTTTCAACGCTGCGCCAGCTCAAGAGTCCTCCGTTGAGAGCGAACGAACAGCATGTCTGTAGGGCTGTCACGTTTTGCAGAGTTATTCCTTGTCTGTTATAAAGTTTGAAGCGACATGAAAACATCGACCGCTTCGTCAATGTTAGACGGCTCTTTGTGGTATTCTATCAGAAAACTTCATCTCTTCATCTCTGAGCCCATCAAGGGAATCTTCTGACCAGATCCTCGTCCCTCGTCCTCCTATCCCTGTAGCCATGCGCCTTGTCATACAACCTCTTCAGGTCCGCCGCATACTCTTCGACTGTTTCCCCACTCCCTTGAGTTCTGTTGCTGAATTTAGCAGCAAAGGATCGCGCAAGTTTCTAATCCTTCCTGTAATCGGCTGTTGAGGCTCTGCAGTCAGGTCATCAAGCTCTGAAACGACAGCTGAGGCAGTTGAGTGAATACAGAATTCGCTCGCTGGACCCTATATTCCTTACGGCAGAAGCTGTCTAACCATCTCTTCTCAGATTCCCCCAGCCCATACTGTAGGTCAACAGCTTCGAAACGGGCTAATCCCACTGTTGCGCCAGTCTTTCTTGCCTGTAAAAGAAGAATCTTCACATTAATTGAATGACTATTGGAGGACTATTGACATAGAGGTCTTCCTTACGGTAAGCCTGATCATAAGTGATCACCATAACATAGTCTATAAAGTGCTCACTCCTTGGGACATCATTACCTGCTTCCCTACCCCATAAGATACCCCTGCTGTCTTGTTCCGCACTGGGATCTCTCGGCAATCTTGTCTCTTGCGGAGCAGTCATCAGCAACTTGCTTGCCTGTTAGGGGGCCTGCTTCAGCTCTTGAAGTTCCTTGACCAAATCTCGCAATCCTGTAAACCCACTATCACAGCTGCATTTCTAGATTGCCGCTTCACTGATTGGTGTTCTAGTGTCCAGTGTTCACGTTTTCTTCATTCTGTGTAGAACATCACTCAAACATGAAGCCACATCAGACTATTTCGTCGGCCGTTCTCAAAGTCACGTCCTGGCCTGCGTCCTACTGTCTGCTGACCATCCTTGAAGCTTAAATTATCCCTTCGCTGTCAACAGGTCTAGGGCTTCCATGCTGTCGCTGTCTAATAGTGATGAATGAAGCTCTCTGGTAGCACCAAGTACAGGTTCGAGATTCTCTGGGATCTATGCCTTGGAAATCAAGTAGAATCCCACCGTTGCACCATGAAAATGTACGGCCCCGCGCTGTGGGTGAGGCCTAAACCCGTGAATCAAGTAGGATCTCTCTTTAAATGAGCTTCGGTCAGGATCTGTTTCAATATGGACTTTGCAGACTTTTTAGTAGCAACCTGTCAGATGTGATGCTGTGAGGTTGACTTTTTTCTAACGTAGGCTGATCACAGTTTCAGCTGCTCACCGTGACTGTAATACTAGGGCCGACTTGAATGCTTGCTCGGTTGGTCGCTTCTTGACGTTTGGACTTCCAACTATTTAATTATTATTTTAAAAAACAATCTTGGGAAACACTTTTAACTAAGCAAAAAGGAAAATAATATTTCTAGAATCAACAAATTATTGCAAGATAAATATTATTCAAATTTATGAATCATGTACGAAAACAAGAAGAAAAAAAATTTCGTATAATAAAAATATTCTAAGAATAGAAATAGGTCGTAAAACACGGTGGACAGCCGCGGCGTAACCACCTAAAAATGACGCGTATATGTCATTCCCAAGATAAAATAAAAATGCAAGAAAAATGTTAAGTATATGCAGATATAATAAAGAGAAAAAATTTATATTTCCTTTTTAATTCAAGAAGAAATTTACTTATTTTAACGTTAAAATAATGCACACCTTTTAAAATTAGTCAAGTATTTTTTAAGCGCTATCAAATTTCAGTAAACAATCAAAAATACGTTGTACATGAAAAACAATTTCGAAGTTGGAAAGACCCCGACTGAAGGCAGACGGGCTATTTATATGCCACAGTCCCCACAAATTCCACAAGCTGTGGGAAAGAACGCTCGCACAGACTTTCTTGTGGGCCCACAGAAATTTCTTGTGAAGGAACGCTCCACAGTATTTTTCGTGGGAAAGTCATCCCACAGTCTTTTTTTGTGGGTTCCACAGATTTCCTTGTGGAAGAAAGAAAAAATAAGTTTAGAATACATAAAACAATATAACACACCTCAAATTTACGTTTTCTGCCAGTAATTAAATGGAACATCGTAAAAAGTTGAGATTAAACTTTATCATATACAATACAGCATCCACGGTTGCTATGCGAGTGCTCGTCGTGTTTACAATATATAAAAATAGTAACAAAATGGCCGCCTGCAAGAGGACAGGTGTACTCACAGTGCTGTTAAAAACAATGACAAAATAAAGGAATTAAATGATTAATAGAGTGATTTCGCTCTGTGGTAAGACAATTCTAGGATTTCTTTATCAAATACAATCAACAATTTAACACTAGCTTGTCTGAGAAAGATAAACAGAGATGTTTACATATTTCGCGAAAAACTGTATATACATTCGAGGCTGACATTTAAAGTTCCAGTCAAGAAACCAGTTACAGTATGAAAATAAACAGACAGCAGATATCTAAATAGACAAACATTCATTATGCATTTATGACAGCCTCTGTATGTTGAATTATGTATGATGAGAAACTCCCATCATCCTCATAAAAAATATTACTGTGAATAAACATTGAATACAAGAAATTAAACAAAGTGTGGATATTACATTACAACAGTACAGATCAAGGTAAGTATAAGAGATGTGACCCTGGGATATTACAGTATTGAGTAAGGTTGCTTATTAGTACTGTACAACACTTGTTTGAAATCATGTTCTGCAATTTTAACTTTTCATTTCAAACACCGTTTGTGATCAAGTTAGATCTAATTTGTACAATGTCACTAATAAATTTTTTATGTAAGTGGCTTTTTGAATCATTCAAAATTCACATTCGTATGGTCACAAATATTGACGAAAACACGACCGTTGTGTAATAGCAATAACAAAGACTTTTAGACGAAATTGTCAAAATGAAGAAAGATAATATCACGATTATTCTCTCACTCCTACATTAGGACGGCTTTGTGAAAATGAATAGGTATAAAATTCAGCGCAAATAATCCTATGCCATTTCACTCTTATTTGTATGAACTAATTATTTTGATTCAATAACGAACATATTTATTTTCTTTGACGCAAATAAGGTCCATAGTTGGATTCATTTTCACTTGCAATTTGTCATGGTAGGAGTGAAACGGTTTTCATTGGCAGAGCAAGATAATTTGTCAAGTTTCTGATAGTTTTCTCATTGTAATGAGAAACAGAAGTGGCCATTAGCTATAACATTTTGGTGTACTTTTACGTAGAAGTCGAGAAAATGAAATTTCAGGGACATTTTGATACACTAGCAAATTTGTTTGTTTTCCCATCGTTGGGTATCAATCGAGGTTTTCTAGAAATACATTGAATGGTTCCTTTTATGGACAATATACTTTATTTATGTTTTACATTATTTTAACTGATGAAGTCGAATTAACTATTTATAGGTAAATGTCCGTTGATAAGTTTATAAATTGATTCGCCTAGTACCTATCATATTGACATTCAATTTGTGTTATAAAACAACAAAACAATATTTAAATCAAACAGTCTGGAAAAAGATATTTTTCAAAATATTCAATTCAAAAACAAGAAAATATCTACGGTTTTTTAATTCCCCAGAAATCAATTTATACATATCATTAGAATAATAGTCACATGGGTAAAAATAACAATTATGCTTTGGTTCATTGAATTAAGGTAAATGTAGGTCGGCAAAGACACGTATAAGCGTGTCAGTGCTTTTTATATTTCTGTATAGATATTTCATAATTATCCTTTTTTAAGTTCTTGGTACTTCAATTTTTTTATGATTATTGTCAAAAAATATAAGGTGTACGACGTTTACATAATCTAATCCTTTGTTACCCCAACACAATCAAACTTTATAAATTGATTCATGTGATCAAACCTATTGTTGACTAGCACATTCAAAACCCTGATGTTAACTCATTTCAATGAATATTGTGTTTGTTCACACAATGAAATATGGTGTTGGCTCACAAATAAAATATTGTGTTTGCTTATCATAACGTAATGTTGCTCCAACACGACAATCACATGTGGTGTTGCTCATACGATCAAACGTGGTGTTGACTTGCTTACACAAAATAAATCTAGTGTTAAAGCACACATTTAAACATCGTGTTGGCTTACACAATTAAATATTGTATGGATGCAAAAAGGTGTTACCATAATAAACGAAATATAATTAGTTCACCGGGATATTCAATAGAGACAATACAACTATATAATTTATAAGTCTGTGTAAGATAAATAATTAGACACTAAATGAAATAGAGAGTCGGAATCCCTAAAGAACGCCCAAAACGTAAAAATTAAAAATGTTGCAGGCTCTGTTTGATTGGGCCTGTTCATGAGGCCAAATGGCAAGAAGTCGAAAGTCAAAAATAAACTCAACTTAATGTATAAAGCAATAACTGAACTTTCAAAGTACATTTGTAATTGAAAAATTATCTTATTTAGTACATGTTTAAATGATGATGAAACAACGTGTTAAGAGGACAGCTTCTGTGTACAGTTAATTTTTTGTTTTGTTT